CTCAGTACTTTGGCACCCTTAAATCCATGCTGACACACTCAGCCAATTCAAATGAAGGGCTTCCCTCCGCATGCCAACTAGCATATTGTACGTCCATTTTGTAATTGAATCCATGGTAGTTCCCATAAAAGAACATTTTGAATTCAAAGCATCTCAAAGCATGGCTCTGAGCTATATTTTCATCTTGGATAGCGATCAAATGGGATCCTTCAGGGTCGATGAAAAGGAGCAGAACACATCATAAAACACACAAGGGAACGACTCTCTTATTCACTTTCATGCTTCCAACACATTTTCTATTTGCCTACATGTAGGCCTATATCTCCAGAATTATATTTTTGACTGAATGTAAAGCTTTTGTACACATATTTTAGGGAATGTAACTGAACATAGTTGTTTATAACTGCAAATTGTTATGTGATATGACAGTTACTCCACTTAATCTCCTGTACTCCTGATAAGGCAACATTAAGTTTACAGAAGGTAAGATGACAAGATTGTGTCTTTACTATGAATAAGAAGCTATTGCTAGCAGCCAGTTAGCTTGGCATAACCTGGCTAGAAATACGTAATAGACCCAGAAAAAAACACAACTTGTTTTTAAAGTTTGTTTTTGGTATGGATTAAACTAACAAGCTAAATCATGTTAAGGTGCTGACAAGACATGTTGTTATTAACAGAGACAGCTAGCTTGTTTCTCCTATTTACAAACATTGTGGTATTGTTAAGCTAACCGGCTGCTAGCTGTCAAAAGATTAGGCTTAAAAATGACAATGATTTCTTTGTTAAGCTCACTAGCTGCTCCTGAGATCAGTCGTTGCACTAGGTTTAGCTAACCGGCTAAAAGCTTTGAGTTGTCGCTGTATAGTGGTTATTTTATAGGACTGTTTCTTGACAGGGCTGTGCTAGCTGATATCCTGTTTCTAAGCTATGCTAACACAAGCTACAGAACTCTTGCTTCTAATTAACCAAACAGATATTAAAGTCATGAATCTAACAAACTAACTATTAGCAATAAAGTGAAGTGTATGATTTGTATTATTCTCCTAACTGCTTAGATTCTGGTACAGTAAAGACGTTGTTCTCAACCAGGGTTCCTTGAGGTATTTCCCGATGGTACACTAGGAAATGGGACATTTTCACAATTCAATATAGAAATGTGCCCATTTTTAGTAATAAGAGTGACTGACCATAGGTTTTACTCCCACCTTGCTTATTGAAAACTAAAGATGTATGGTCTCAATTATATCTGGGATAAAATAACAATAATAACAGACCAATGTAAGGTCTCTGAAGCTAATGAAACGTGCGGTCAACTAACTAATGTTTATACGATTTGAGGGTCCATGAGAGAATAAAAGGTGAGAACCACTGGTGTATAATATGTTAACGTTGAAGGCTTGGCTCTGATCTTTAATCCCATACCTTTTCGTCGGCTCTCAAGCGGATGCTGAGAGGATGTTTTCCCGCTCTGGGATTTCTTCTGCGAGTACCAGGAATGACAAGTGAGTCATTACAGCATGAAACGACAGGTTCGAGAAAGTCACTTCTCAATGGCAACGGGGAGCAGGAAGGCACGGATTTATTTATGGGACAGGATTGTGAGAGAAACAGAAAGCACTAGGAGGGCCTCTGCTGAAAGATGGATAGATGGATACGGATAGTCAACACAAGTATAAACACTGACATTAACATACATTATAGAAGCAGAAAAAGAGAGATGGGAAGTCGTGGAAAGACTAAGAGTCCTGAGACGGATGTAGCTGCGTGGCTGGTTTTGTTTCCAGTTTATTCTTATCTCCTCACATTTGCAGGTGCCATGTCAGAGGCAAAGCTCACTATCTGCTAATCTACCACAGCTGGGAGTCAAGAGCCGGAGCGGAAGACTTTTGAAAAGCTTATCTAAAAAATACTGTAGGTGTTGTGCTGATTTGTTGAATTGATTTGTTTTAAAGTGTCATTAGACATGTGTTAAAGCTCTAAATGTTGGCATTTGGAAATGTGTTATTGTAAATTATAGTTTGAAAAGCTAAAAGCATCGAGAGAGAAATGAATCTCTTTTGTGTGAAAATATGGGCTTTTATCCAATTGAGGAAAATGATTCTTGGTTTTAGCTTACATTGACATCAGACATATTTTAAAACATAGCTGTGGAGTAATAGAGAATGTTTCCAATTGGATATAAATTGTAATAATAATCCTGGTAAGGCACCTGCAGTTACAATAGACTTTATGATGGATTACATTTCAGGCGCTGTAAAAGGTGTTTGGGAGTAAAACCGCATCAGTTTTTCAATCACAACAACATCTAATTTAAACTGCTCTCCACATCCTGACACTGAGCAAAATAGACAGACACTTCCATCCCGTTATAGATAATTTCCTGTCGTGATAACAACATATATCATGATGAAGCATGTTTCCAGTTAATTTTATGTATGAAACTTAATACATAATTCAGTACCATTTTTTACTAGGAAGTCCCTTTAAGATGTCACATCTCTTCTACAACAGAGACCTGGCAACGTAGCAGTAATACAAACACAGTAAAATACATTACATATATTACATTGCATTTCACTTAGCTGATGCTTTTGTCCAAAGTGACATGAATATACAGTAAATAACAAACTAAGAAAAAGGAAGAATCTTGCAGGTGCGTTAGCTTTCAATTAGCCACATCATTGTAAGCGCTACGTACAACATTCAACATAAAGAACATTATATAAACAAAAGACTAGCAAACATCTTTGTTTAAAGAGTGCACAGTAAAAGGGAAAATAGAGAAGAGTCCCAGTTACATTATGATAAAGACTTGTTTTGGTCGTTTTGACGATAGTATTGTCATATCGGCAAACCATATAGCCACCGTCTCCTAACCTTCCCTTGATTTGACCACTGCAAACTGCGCATGCAAGCATCTTTGCAGAGGAGCGCAGAGCCTTTAATATTCTTTCTCTCTTTCGATTCTTTGCCCTCTGACAGCTTTTAACTGACTTGTCTTGCCGGGCCCGTGCTGGCCTGTTGAATCCAGACACAGGCCGGTGCACGCTATGACATATCCACTCCCCTCAGAGCTGCTGCCTTCATCCAATTCACCATGAAAGGGAATCCTGACAGGCCCATAATATGACCCCCGGCTGCCTCCATCGAGCACGGTCGACAACTCAGCGGCCGGGCTTCACACACACAACCAGCTGGCTATCTTCAGAGGCCCACTGGCCGCCTGCTGCCCCTCGATAAGACCCATCGCCCAGGGTGAGAGTGGACAGTTCCATCTGGCTGTATTTTTAGTGAAGAGTGCCCTCTGGTGTTTCTGAGGGCGCAGCACAATAAACGCAGCCAAGAGAGTGGTAAACAGTGTAATCAGGGGGTGGCTTTACTGTCGGACACAGATTACAGCAGTGTTTCCTCTGATTTCATGCAGCGCCAGTGCTTTGGGTGATGTTGTTGTTCTTTTGGTTCCACATCCATCCACCTGTCAGTCACACTTATCTTTCTAATGCAGGCGACTGCAGCCAGGATATTTTTTCTTCAGATATTTTATCTCAATGAAAACATGATTTGTCAGCTCTAAGCCTGCACCTCCATTTGTTTTGAGGGGAAATTAGAATATATTATTTAAAGCTATTTAAAGTCACTTTTCGTACAGTGTTGACGCCTCGTTGAATAATGAGAAATCAACGCTGTGCAGCCTCATTATAATCAAGTCCCAACTTTCTGACTAATGGGAAGAAACTTGAAAGTAATTGGTCCCTTGGTGTATGACTAACACTGATTTCAATTTTAACTTTTCTTTTTAAATTCCAGAGATCACATAACATTACCCTTTCTAGGAAAGGATACAATAAAGTTAAATATGTTCATTTACTTTCCCGAACACAAAAGATAACGACACAAAAATGTGAGCATTGGTAAAAAAAAACTCACCAAATCCAACAGTTTACAAATTATAAAGTCCCACACGCTACATGCTGCTGCCTTTTCCCCAACCCTTATGTTGTGTCCGGGTCTCCCGTGACCCGTTTCAAGTTTAAATTATATAATAACTACGCTCTAGTATTTTTTATCGGAACAAGGCTTCATGATATCCTCCACAACAGCTATGTAAACACTACAAAACTGAGTCTGAAGGTCTTTAAAAAAAAAGTGTATAATTCGGTGTTCGGGTCTGGGGAGACCCAGCAGAATTGTTTTGGGTGTCTCGAGGTCAAATTTGGCCCAATCAAGATTCATCTTTGACTTTAGACACCCCTCCCCCACTCCCTTCATCCACTGTAACAATAATTTTTCGCAACATGCACCTGGTCTCCCATCCCTCTGGCCCCCCTCCCCCCACGGGAACTCGACCTTTCACAAAGAATACACTTGAACTTGAACACACACATGCACGTGTGCAATATCTGGTGTAATGTGTTTTGGGGCCATAGAATATTGTACAGGATTGTACGGTTATGAATGCATAATAAGTTAATTATGATGTGGTATGATTTTTTTGTTGTGTTTTGGACTGAAATAAATTATGGGTCAAAATTGACCCGCGAACACCATGAACGGTAACAGCTTTCGAACACAACACAAGGGTTAAATTGAAAAAAAAATTGTATGACAAAGAATGTGTTGCACAATGTCACTTTGAGGCATATTGAACTGCTTATGAAGGGGTGAAATATGCAGGAAACAACATCCTTTTTAAACTAGAGGTAATACAAAATTGTTGTTTATATATATTACTATCCATCTGTTCCTCCAACAGATAGCTAATAATAAGCTCAATGAATGTATTTATAGTAATGAAATACAAGCTAAATATCTGTAGTTAGTGCTGAGGTGTAATTCAGTCCATCAATGATTTATTAGCGCATTTAAACGACAACACATGCTATTTTTTGTGGAAAAATGTCTAGATATTTACAAATGTAACCATCAAACCACTAAGAAAAAAACGAACTTTTCAGTACAAATTTTATTAAATCCTCCCCCCCTTCTTCCTCCACCAGGCGCTGAGCCCACCACCTCAGAGTACACAGTCATAATGCACGGGGAGAAGTTCCGCTCCGTAGAGGGCCTCGTCATGGCAGCAGACAGCTCTCGGTCCTTCTCACCTCTGGAGAAGTTCGGCCAAGGCTTCCTGGAGCGACTGGTCGGCATCGAGATGCCCCACAAGCTGCTGGAGAGGGTCACCTTCGTCGACACGCCCGGCGTCATTGAAAACCGCAAGCAGCAGGAGAGAGGTGACCATTAATGGAAATGTTTTTTACACCAAAGTTGCAGATAACCAAAGGACCTGTAGACTGAGTGCCAATATCTGCAACATCAACCATTCAACAGTGATTACATGACACACAGGATCAAATCAACCCACACACAGCCTGCAATCACATGTAAACACTTTATAGTTGTTGTGAGTCTCCTGGTGGTTTCTTGTTGTTTTCGTCTCTTTGTAGTCTTTTTGTATCCCTTTATATTTGTTTTATGTTCCTTTGAGGTAATTTTGGGTCTCTTTCTAGTTGGTACGTGTCTCTTTTAGGGTCATTTTGTACGTTTAGGGCACAGGGGCCCTTAAACTTTGGGTCCCCGGGCACTTCATGTGCTATTTTCTCAACCACAAATTCAGAAACCCATTGAGAAGTTGCTACCTGTTATATTACAAAATAATACACAACGCAAAGCAAATAGCATAGGGTCAGTCTTGCTGCCATTCAAAGAGCCAAAACATTAATGTGTGCATTGTGTCTCCTCTCTCCTCTATCCTATTCCTCAGGTTACCCCTACAATGATGTGTGCCAGTGGTTCATCGATAGAGCGGATCTGATCTTCCAGGTGTTCGACCCCACCAAATTGGACGTGGGCGCGGAACTGGAGATGCTCTTCAAGCAGATGAAGGGCCGCGAGTCCCAGATTCGCCTCATCCTCAACAAGGCCGACAGTCTCTCCACCCAGAACCTGATGAGGGTGTACGGGGCTCTGTTCTGGAGCATGGCGCCGCTGATGAAAGTCACGGAGCCTCCTCGGGTGTACGTCAGCTCCTTCTGGCCTCAGGACTACGCTGCAGACACCAGCCGGGAGCTCTTCATGAAGGAGGAGACCTCTCTGCTGGAGGACCTCAACCAGGTCTGACTGCATGACATGTTTTGTTTACAAAATTATGCAAAACACAGCATGGTTTTTTGTAAATGTTTTTTTAATATATACTGTATATATATTTTGTTCTAGTAATTTTATATAAAAAAATAACAAATATGTTGGCTTACTTATAATGTAACCATACTGTATGTCATACCACATTTCTTCCACTACCATTGCATAAATGAAAAAATGCTAAAAACAAATGTTTATTATTAAATCGGGGGTTGATTACAATAAGCAAATATTCAATCGGCACGTATATTAATCTACAAGAATTTGTATTTATTATTACTGATGCTAAAATTATCGCTTCTCAGATTCGTGGGATTATAATAAATGGGCCTCAGATATTTAAAAACCTGTTTGAATCCTTTATCCTGTCTTTGAGTGTGATTTTTTATTTTAAAAGTAAACATACAGAAAGAATTTCCAAAGCAACATCCTAATAGTTGGTCTTTATATAATCTTCTGAATGCTAATCAAAAGCAAGCCAAATCATGGCTTACAAAACACTTCCAATAAGCATCTTGTCTGTTATTCATCATCTCTCTCTGTCTCTTCTGATTCCTCTCTCCTCCCTTACAGGTGATTGAGAATCAGATGGAGAACAAGATCGCTTTCATCCGTCAGCACGGCATCCGTGTGCGTATCCACGCCCTGCTGGTGGACCGCTACCTGCAGACCTTCAACGACAAGCTGGGATGGTTCAGTGACCCCTACGAGGTTTTCCAAGACATTGTCAGCGACCCCGACAAGTACTACATCTTCAAAACCATTCTGGCCAAAACCAACGTCAGCAAGTTTGACCTGCCCAACAAGGAGGCCTACCAGGACTTCTTCGGTGTGAACCCGGTGTCCGGCTTCAAGCAGCTCTCCTCCCACTGCAGCTGGAGCGGAGGCTGTCTGCTGGAGAAGCTGGAGAGGGCCATCTCACACGAGCTCCCCGCTCTGCTCAGCAGCGTCAGCAAGGCCGCAGACAAGCCTGCCCCAGTGAAGGCTGCACCCGCACCTCCACCCCCCCTCCCCGGCACCTGTGAGGGTCCCGGGTGTGAGGGGAAACCCAAGAACCGCTGGAGGAAGCAGTGAGATGTAGGAGAGGGGTGCAGGAGGAGGAACAGAGGAGGCAGGAACCAGAGGGTTTTCTGAAGTAATCCTCACTGCTGTGATTTTCAGAACTGGGTATAGGGAGACCATGTGGGGAGAGAGAAAGAGAAAAAATGTGGGTCAGAATACTTCTTTCTGCCTGTTTTTACCTGGATGGAGTACCAAATAGATTTTGACAGTTCAAATTCATTGTATATGACCGAAAGTTATACCCCGAGTGATTTTCACTTATCAACCATCTAGTGCACATTGTCCTGTAAGACACCCTTCTGGTATTAAGATCAAATTAAGGTCAAAGCTAAAAGTAAAAAGTGACATATTGTGGGAGTTTGGATGGAAATAAAAGTAATAAAAGAGGCCTCAAGTCAACTTTCCATCTGAAGCTATTGCTGTCTGCAAAATGTGAGGAATGTCTGCAGGAGAAACAAACTTCCCAATCATTACACCAGGAAAATCCCAGACCTCTATTTCCTTTGTTACCTTCCATGTTAATGAAATCTAAGAATGAATGTTTTTCTCACTGTTTTTAAGTTTGTACATTATTTATTCAAGTGTTCTCCTTCTAAAACAGATGCCGGTAGCGGTTGTCATTCACCAGTCATACAGTTGATGCTGCAACTCTTTTGTCTGCTGTGTTGTTTGCGAGGGCGGAAGATTGAGTTTCAACTGCTGTGTTTTTACAGTTAAACCAGGGTAGGTTATTACCGCTTCAGGAAGCTTTTTTTTTTTTATAGGTGGGAGAATACAATAGAAAGAAGCTTGCTCTCGCAGTCGTTTATTGAGCTGAACCATGTTTAGTCCCCACATTACTGCATACTGTACTGTTTCCTTTATTGTACTATTCTACGTTAATAGTAACATCTTTTATTTCAGCATTTCTCATTCATGAGACTGAATTGACTGAATACAACCATGGTGTCATTTAAGCGTAGCTTTTATTTTATTTGAGTTTGCATTTAATGCCTCTACCCTCTGAACTGTTGCTAGTTTGACCTGAACGTGGCGGCATACCACACGGGCATTTCCTTTGAATATTGTAATCATTTTCTTTTTCTTTTAGGTCTGTTTGTAAAATTCCTTCTTTTGAGTAAACAACAACAAAAATGAATCTACGTGCTTGGATTTCTTTATTGAAGGTTAAAAAGACATTACAGATTAAAGTATTTTCCATGGATACGATACATAATTCATATCATTTGGTTGTTCAGCTGCAAAATGCAACGAGAGGGGGCTTGGAAAATATGGGCCAATTGCAAAAGCAGCAACTCTCATCGTCACAACTCACAATCGATTTGAGAAACTACACCTTTGGAATAAAATATTGCAGACTAATTAGTTCATAACAATAAACATGATTGAATTTGTAAAAGCTGGGAGAGCAGAGCACACATCAGTCTACAACCACAATAAAATAAAATGCTGTTTTTCATTAGCTGCTGATAAATAATGTCCTGCAGTGACTGAAAACAGCCACAAGGAGGCGCCTAAATTCAATGTGTTGGACCCACAAACTGCTGAGTGAGTTGTAGAGGCAGACTGAATTATATTAGTGTTATGAATGCAGGGAAAATAGAAAAATAGAAAGCAAAAGACTGTTCCTGCCACACACAAAAAAGTACTTTATTGCAGCCACGTTACAAATAAGTTGTGTGACTTGTTTCTTTCATCCTGCCACATTAAAGGTGGGGTATGTAATTCACTTCAGAAACACTTCATGGAATGCTCTTAACATAGCAATGAATATATTAAATGCTTTGACAATAAATATATTAAAAAAAAATCATCTGTGGAAGCCGTAGTGCTGTAAAAAGCACGACGAATCATCTGAGCCGGCCCGGCTAAAATAACTGGATTGCCTACCTGCCTGTCAGCCTTCCATCTCGTGCACAAATTTATCTCGTGCCCTCATTGGTCATGTGCGCGTTCTTGTGTGTTGGAGGAGGGGCTCTGTAAGGAAGTGGCAGATTTTTTCGGCTGCGTACTTTCAAATTCCTACCCTACCTTTAATACAAAAACATTTTTTATTTAGTACCAAACTAGAACATTGATCACATACAACAATGTAAAACGTTCCTTCTTCTTCCAAAAATATTCTATTAGCAATCATACTTCTGCAGAAGGGGGGCAAAAAACATTATTACAGGAAAATAGATAGGCCTACAATAAATCAATATTTTTCTCTTGGAGGCTGGATCCTAACTGTTGGTGTCAAATTCAATAAATATTCACAAACATTGTGACATCCTGTCCATTGCCAGACATTCATTTACCATTAGTGGGCTAGGTTACCTTTTTAGAGTTTAGTTAAGAATCTGACATCATTTGTGCACTCGGAGGCCACATGCAGTTGCCTGTGAATTTAAAGGTTGTGTTATGATTTCTGTAATTAAATTATCATCATTTGTTTGAATTAAATCTAAGTATAATAAAGTAAACTGCAACATGTTAAGGTTTCATGAAATCCACGACACAGCTGGGAATAAAGCACCCAGGCTTTTCAAAAAGACCAAATTCAAGACAAAGTCCTCACCCTGTACTACGAGCAGAGTAAAGCCTAATTGTCACCATATTCTTTAGCAGCGTGTCACTTCACTGGTAGTTCTTTGTCCTGCAGCTGAACCTGAGTTTATTTCGATGGCCAATACACAACACAATACCACATTACCCACCACAATGATCCAAACACTCACGTGAAGCAGGGCATGAACAAACACGCATATCAAATAAAAGTGTATTATGTAAATATGAATCTTATGATAAAATCTGTTAGCTAAACAGACAATGTTTCCAGATTAAAGCACAATGTTAACACAGACTTATCAGTGCTGCTTTATCAACTCTTCAAACAGGCCTCTTGTAAGCTCTCGAACATAAACACACACACACACACACACACACACACACACACACACACACACACACACACACACACACACATCTTCTTTTTAATCATCTGCTGTTCACAATCTCATCACTTCACTATCTCCAGCTGAAAGTAGGCCTACTGTGCTCCATAGAAATGCCGGTACAGTGTCCATTTCTGCTGAAGAAGCACATGCCAGCTGGATATTTGATAGCCAATGTGCCTTGGACCTAAATAACAATACGTGTTTCCTCTGCACGATTTTCCTTGAATAACTTTCCCCCTGAATTCTCTTATTATACAGTACTTGGCATTGGAGATTTAGCTTTTGACAAATAAACAAAACCCTGTCTCTTTCATTCTTGGATTTGCATGTGACAATGTCTAATGTCAATTCCACTGCTACTATTAGAAACATCTCCCAGGAAATATGTGCTTCAAATACAAATGCATCTTTAAAAGTGAATACAAATACTATGCCAAGTAAATAATTAAATAATAAAAAAAATGATTAAAAAAATCCTGTGATAGTTCACTCCAGCTTAGTATTTTGTGAATAATTGTTTTCTTTGTTGATGAGTGGTATTCCCCTCTGGCTGTGTTTATCTCAGAGAAAGAAGAACAACAGGGCACTTGTATTGATAAAGAATTGGTTGATAAGATATGCAAATACAAATCAATATATTCGATTAGTTTTTTTCCTACATATCAGACTGATTAACATCCCACAGATATGTGCATTTTACACATTCAAAACCCAAATCCCTTTTCTGAAGCAGAAACATTCTCCTCAACTGCATAGGCTACTGGATTTTATTGTTGAAAAAAGGTATTTATTATCCCCATTCAGGCAGAGAAAAGCAATCTGAGTAATTCCAGTCGTTCTTCAGCAGATTATACTAACAGGTCCACACTGCTTAAAAGTCTGGTATGGGTTAGTCAATAATATACCAAACTTTAGCTAATAAACACACCCTAATGTGTGTGTGCTATGTGTCATGCTGCATACAAGGAAAGACTGGAATCTTTTAAATAAATGTTTTTCTCAAATTTTAAGCAGTGGGCCACTTGAAAACATGACTTTTAGTAGAGTCTGTAATGATAGCTTAAGGTTCAATGAACGACTTTAAAAATAAAATTAGGCCTATATGTTGATCACAACTTCTAACTTACAAGTAATGACAGCTGTATTTCCAGCCTAGGCTGAGCAATGCAAGTATTTGCTTATGAGTTGACATAGCGGTGGGGGTAAACATAATTTACAGTAGCAACGCAAAAATCTGTCAGATCAAATTAATATTTGAAGGATTCAAAAGTAGAAACTTTCATTCACACGTGACTTGAACGCAGCATTGCTCCACTCAGCCAGACGTCAAGTCACATAGAGACAGCTGGGAGACACCGGAGGAGAGTTCCCGCCTTCAAACTAAAGGTCGTTATTTGTTGGTATTTTACATGGCTAATAGTTTTTTAATACATAGCTTAGTTTTGTAAACTTATAGGGTCAGGGTTAGTTACGTTTGAAGAATTGTTGATACGTATCGACGACCGTTTGCTTTCTGAACTCAGTAGCCGTCTGTTTTTTTTTTTTTATGTTTAGGATGCCTTCCCTTCTATGGCTATAGGGACAAGAGATGGACATAGGCTACCTTTTATAGATTAAATATGACTCAATCAACATTATACGACCTCAATGTTTCTGTTGACTAAGGAATGTTGTGTTGTGAAATTGCAAAAATACCAACATATTCCTCTTCATTTCACTTCAGCAGTCTGATATGATGTTACCTTTCTAAGCTTTCTCCTGTATTCTGTCCAAGCCAATGTGAAATATTTAACTAATATCTGCTCGCCTTGAAAGGCAAGACCGGAAACAGACTTTTTTTTAAACCGTTGTTTGCTTGACAGGCTAGTCCCACCAACCCGCACCGCCACAACAGCTGGGAGAGGATTTCCGACCCAGTCACAGCGAATATGGTGGCAGCTACAGGAGTGGAGATATTACGTTCACCCGGATAAGAAGGAAAAGCTGCCGCGAAACTCCCGCAGTGGGTCTGTTTTTTATTTAGCCCCCAACTCAGCAGAGAGCTATATCAGGGGAAAAGGGAGGCAACCAGCGGCGGACGGAAGGGGACGCACCGCGGCCAGAACGCACAGTGTTGTGTTTGTTATCCAGACCTAGACCTAAGGAATTGGATAAGACTAGGATATAGTACTATTTGAGGGAAGTCTTTATTGACAATCCAACCGAGGAGCTTTCCAGAGGGTCTCCTTCATTGCTCTGGGAATGTTCTGATGTCTTTGCTCTGGGGGGAAATGCAAGGGGAGGAAATCCAGCCTCAGCTCCAAATAACCAGAGACTCCTAACTGGGTCTCCTCTCCAAACGCAGGAAATACGGCCTGGGAAAAAAAAAAGTTTGGGAGCTTTTGGAAGCAGAGGGGGCCTACCGCTGACGTTTTGCATGCGTTTTACGACATGGATTTCAAGTAGCCTACTACGTTTTTCTTTAACATTAAGCGCTTCCACAGACTAAGTGGATATGAGCTTTCAAATGTTACACTCCTTCGGTGCGGTTATTGCAAGAGTTTTTATCGTCTCTATTTATAGACCAGCCTGTTCCGACCGAGGCTGTTCCTCATAGCTGTATATTTTGCCAACTGCGCGCAACAAGTTGCAGACACTCCCAGCAGAGGCAAACCTACACTAATTTGGGACAGCGGATGGTATTTTCTGCGCTTCTCTTTTCGGATTACGCGTCTTTGAATAGCGACCCCTGCCCGACCCCCTCTTTGGAAAGCAGAGTGGAATAAACTGTAGAGATCCGGAGAGGTAGTTCAGGAAAGGACGGGGCTGGATCTCTGGGAATAGGCCTGCCTGTCAGGCCTCTTATGATCCGGACTTTGGACCGGACAGGACTCCAAAATAACTCAGTCGGGACTATTTTAATGGGCCCTCTGGAATACATCTGAAAGGTGAATGTCTATGGATAAGGAATGCAAATCCTTAGCACGCTGAGGCATACATGGGGAGGGTTGTAGTAAAGCCGTCTTAATCACACATCACCCACTTTTTATAATTAACACAATGTTAAATTGCTAACATTTTAAACTGGCATTATTTTTGTATGTTAAACCTTCACTGCATAACGAGTAGTCTACACCACTTTATGTGAAACGATAACAGTCTTTTAGATGAAACCTGATTATTTTCTTTAAAGAATATATGTTTTTGTACAGTTTTGATG